CTCATTCTGGATTGAAAAAAAGCTGTTTTTTCTTAAAAACAGTTTTTGTGATAAAGTCCAGAATGCAACGTCCAGCTTTTTACCTATGTATGTATATGTCTTGCATTAACTCGCCAGGCCAACATACAGGCAATTAAAACATCTTGGGTAACATTGGTAAGATCTAAGTCTTCTTTGTTTTCAACCACATCTGAGTCTGTGGATTCCTTATTCAGGGGATTTTATGAAAATGTTTCTAAGCTTCCTGATTTCTCAGCACTTACAAAGAGACAGGAAAGCCAAACTTGTTATCGTATATTGCTAGTACTGTACAGTGTACTACCATACACTGTCAATATAATGTACAACATGCTTTACTTATCATGTACCATAATTATTAATTTTGAAAACTATTTTATTGTCAACATATTTAATAATAAACTAAGAGTACAGTACTAGGAAATTGTCATTACTCACCAAGTGTGCAGTGTATATTACATAATATTACGCTGGTAGGAACTGTATTACATTGATCGATATGAGGCCTACTAGCCTCATTAAGACATTTGCTAAGCTTAATTACAGAGTTTTAAAGTAACTAAATAATTTTACTTGAGTATTGTACTCAAGTAACATTTTTGGATATTTACTTTGAAAAAATTACTAATTTTTTTTAATACTTTTAATTTTACATAAGTATGTTTTTCTAATACTTTGACTCCAATACAATTGAAAAAACTAAATTCGTTACTTGTTACATGCAAACTAATAATATATTTTTTAATTAATTATTAACCATTGTTATCGCCATGCACAATTGTGCGTTTACACCTCATAATAGCTTTCTAAGCGAGATGGAGCTGCTAGCAGCTGTGTGACTGCCTGAGGGACAGACTATCGCCTTCTACTGTAGAGGCAACATCTTGATTCTCGTCAGCCAACATCTTCCTGCAGGACATTATATTTGTTCTCATTGGTCTAACACTAGACCCCAAAACGTGCGTGTGATTGTGAACTGTTGAATCCTCTGATAACTCTAAATAATTTTAATAAGTGTAATTATTTACTGAATATTGATCATATTCAATCTATGTGTCCTGATGTATCAGCAGTTGTTATATGTGAAATGTATTCAACAGGTTTTGACCGAATTATACTCATCGCGTCAACGACAAGGGTCTTATTGCCCTGCACAAACCAAAATCGCTCCATAGTGTGGGTGGAGCCATGAAGGGTACGGTGTGGAGAGACACCACACGGTCACATACCTAGAGGTCTCGTGAAGCGAGGTGACATCAGATCAGGTTAGGTCAGGTAAGGTGGCAGTGGCCATGACAGCGGGCTTTCCCTTTGATCTTCTTGACCACCCACCTCACTTGGCCTACCCTCTTATCCCCCCCTCTCCTCTCAAATCCCCTCTCTTCTCCCCACCTTTCCTTCAGGGGCTTGGTCTTCCCGTTAAATGTCAGTTGCTCTTTGTATATACCTGTACCTAAAATAAATTTCAAAGAGGCTGTGATTCTAAAATGCTTTACATAATTCCATCTTAGTTATAAAGCCTGTATCTATAGACATGTGTGAGACTGAGTGTATTTAAAATTCAACTTAAATAAAAGTACCACAGCCCCCCCAGCACCCGCCAGATGTTACATGATGCGAAAAGTTCAGCCGCTAATCAATAAGAATTGAAAAGTGACGCCACCACAGCCACTCCCCCAAATAGAGGGACAGTTCACGATGAGTCTTAGTCAGACTCAGTCACTATGGAGGCAACAATCATCCACAAACTCCTCAAATGAAGGAGCTTGATAGCTACTTGACGTGCCCAGGGGATGGGATGGAGCTACTGAGGTGTTTCCTAACATAATGTGACTTATCTCTCAAGCTTAACACCTACATCTGCTGCTTGTGAGTGTCTGTTCAGTCAAGTTGGGCTTATTATTTATTATTTAATTAATTTATTACACTCCAGGGGGTGACAAGCCGAATCGTAAGATCATGCGGTCAAACACTAATACCTGTGCATTGGTATTCGTGTCTCGCAGAACACGCAATTATTTGTGATATGGAGACAATATTGATATGATTTAAGGAGAATGGGAGTTAGAAACCATCAACGTGTGGGAAGTGTAAAACAATTCAATCTAAATTATTACGAATAAGTAGGTCAATGACTCGTCCTGTGGTAGGAGGTCCCTGACAGTGGGACAGTCAAGGCAATAGTGTTGAAGGGTGTTAGCATTGGGAAAGTTACAGAGTTTACAGGAAGAGAAGTTGCGGGTCATCCCCTGCCTCAGATGACATAACATAAGAACATAAGAAAGTGGGATACTGCAGGAGGCCGACTGGCCCATACAGGGCAGATCCCTTTCACACCCATCCCAGCACTACCATGTGCCTATCCAACTTCGTCTTGAAGCTCCCTAGCGTCCCCGATCCTACTATAGCACTCGGTAGCCTATTCCACATATCCACAACTCTATTACCAAACCATTGCTTGCCTATATCCTTTCTGAATCGGAATTTATCTAATTTAAAGTCATTTGTTCTAGTTATTTCGTTATTACTGAGCTTCAGAACATCTTCCATTTTACCCTTGTTAATCCCGCTTACCCACTTGAACACCTCTATCATATCTCCCCTAACTCTACGCCTCTCTAATGAATGCAAGCCTAAGCTTTTCAGTCTTTCTTCATATGGAAGGTTTCTAATATTATGGATCATTTTTGTCATTCTTCTTTGTACTCTCTCCAAAGAATCTATGTCCATTCTATAATGACACCAGAATTGAACCGCATAATCCATGTGTGGCCTCACTAATGCCAGGTGGTCTGTATCTTAACCTAATGTGAGCAGAGACAACATTATGTCTGCTGACCTTAAGTCCACGTTGACTATACATGTGTGGATGAGGAAGAAAGTGATCATAGTGTTGGATGGATATATTTTCAGCCATTCACTATCCCTGCGATGGATTGTAGGGAGAAGTGAGGCTGAACGTATTCTCTTTCAGTAGTTCATGTTGGGCTTATATTTAGCCTGAAACGATCCTGGTTGTACAGCCATAATTTTGAGAATCAGTTATTGATTAATCTCAATAGAAAGATTTGCAAATAAACTTGTGTAATGCTGTATCTTTTATTTTTTGTCTTAAGTTAACTAGTTTTTTATAATTTACTGTGGAGTTATTTTAATATTTGAGACATTTAATAATTTCGCTGTTACTTTTTACTTTCAGTACTTGAGTACTTTATGAATGAGATACTTTTACTACTACTTAAGTAATATTTTGCTCATGTATCAATAATTTTACTTAGGTAACAACATCCATTACTTTTTACAACTCTGCTAAATTAACAGTTGCCCTCATGAAAACAAAACAAAACATGAGAGAACTGTTAGAAAGTAAATCTTGGCAAGTTTAACTAATACTGAGGACATAGCTTTCAAATCGCAGTTTAATAATCAAAATCGTCTTATATGCCCAGCCGACTTATAGGCCACAATATATGGTAAGCAATAATCTATGATGTTGGTCATGTTAATCAGCAACCATAGCAAATTTGTCTAAACTGTACAGCTAATTACCATACTGTATCTGTTAAGAGTGCAGCTAATTACCATACAGTATCTGTTAAGAGTACAGCTAATTACCATACAGTATCTGTTAAAGAGTACAACTAATTACCATACAGTATCTGTTAAGAGTACAGCTAATTACCATACAGTATCTGTTAAGAGTACAGTTAATTACCATACAGTATCTGTTAAGAGTACAGCTAATTACCATACAGTATCTGTTAAAGAGTACAACTAATTACCATACAGTATCTGTTAAGAGTACAGCTAATTACCATACAGTATCTGTTAAGAGTACAGTTAATTACCATACAGTATCTGTTAAGAGTACAGCTAATTACCATACAGTATCTGTTAAGAGTATGGCTGATTACCATAACTGTTAAAGAGTCCAGCTAATTATCATATATGTTAAAGAGTACAGCTAATTACCATAACTGTTAAAGAATAAAGCTAATTACCATAGCTGTTAAAGAATACAGCTAATTACCATATCTGTTAAGGAGTACAGCTAACTGTCATATCTGTAAGAGTACAGCTAATTACCATACAGTATCTGTTAAAGAGTACAACTAATTACCATACAGTATCTGTTAAGAGTACAGCTAATTACCATACAGTATCTGTTAAGAGTACAGTTAATTACCATACAGTATCTGTTAAGAGTACAGCTAATTACCATACAGTATCTGTTAAGAGTATGGCTGATTACCATAACTGTTAAAGAGTCCAGCTAATTATCATATATGTTAAAGAGTACAGCTAATTACCATAACTGTTAAAGAATAAAGCTAATTACCATAGCTGTTAAAGAATACAGCTAATTACCATATCTGTTAAGGAGTACAGCTAACTGTCATATCTGTAAGAGTACAGCTATTTATCATAACTGTTAAAGAGTACAGCTAATTACCATAACTGTTAAAGAGTACAGCTAATTACCATAAATGTTAAAGAGTACAGCTAATTACCATATCTGTTATATATATCTTTTTTTATCATTTTCGCCACTTATCAACTTACTAGCCGTTTGGGCAGTCTATCCAGTGTTAGTACAGGAGGAAACCGGGAACCGGGAAACCTGTGGTGTTTGGTAGTGAGGGTCACACTGGATAACACCCTTCTCACGTGTGTCCGGGCCGAGGCTCGAACCCTTGACATATTGGTGAGAGTTATGCGCGTTACCGCTGTACCAGCTAATTACCATAACTTATATATCTGTTAAAACAGTAAAGCTAATTACCATATATGTTATACATCTGTTAAAACGGTGCAGCTAATTACCATATCTGTTATATATCTGTTAAAACAGTACAGCTTGTAATGACAGTCAACACCAATCAACTTAATAAATACAATACTTAAAATTAAGCAAATAGTCTTGTTTTAAGTTTTAAAGTATTTAAAGCAAAGGAAACAAACTTTATTAAGAAAACCCTTACCCGAGGACATGATCCTGGATGTGATGTCAATTTAAAGATCTCATATTGGTCAGCACATTTGGGCTGTGAGCAGGGTGGAGGTTCTGTTGGAACGCACTCGTACGGACTGCATGCTCCATCCGGAAACTCTTCCTCAATGTTTACAGCATCCTGGACTATATAGCCTTTTGGACAGATTCGAGGGCACTCAGGCTTTGTAGTTGTTGTTGACGTGACAGAAGGAATGCACTCATAACTGGGACACACGTCACCCACCTGTTGAGTATTTCACAAATGCAGTATATTCTTTAAAATCAGTGTAAGGATGCTCAAATTATATATATATATATATATATATATATATATATATATATATATATATATATATATATATATAAACCGTCAATCCCGAACCCCTAATTTTTTTTTTACGGGGATTAGCCCACCCGGGCACAGGTCACTGACCCACATCGGGGCCTGGGGGCGATAATGTAATAATAATGATAATGATAATGATAATGATAATAATAATAATAGTAATAAAGAACCATAAAGAAATGCAAAAATGAAAAAAAAATCATGTGTGAGAAACAATATACCTGTATGTATGTTGTGTTGTCAATAGTAAGAGAAACAATTGAGACCCTGCAATTGTGTGTAAATGAGGCAGAAAGTCAGATCAGCAACCTGGGACTTGGTCACAATTTTTGCGTTGACATATGTTCTTTGCCTTTTCCATTTTTTATTCGCGGTTTCTGTGCTGGTTCATATTTATTTACTAAAGTGGGTAATGTTTTAAAGCAAATTCTATTGAAATATGAATGGCAAATGAACAAAAATGAATAGAGGGAATTAAATGAGGTAAGTTAGGGAAAGGTACTTTGCAAATGTATGTTTTATTTCCGTAGACTTTATGTACTATAAACCGACCTTTTGGATTATGCGTCGGCCCCTTTCCCCCATATGTGGTCAGTTAATCGAGGTTTTACTCTATATATAAGAACATAAGAATGGAGAAAACTGCAGCGGGCCTATTGACCCATACTGGGCAGTCCTGTTTACACCCAACCCCTATTGCTCATATAAGCGTCCAACCTATGTTTGAAACTATCCAACGTATTCGAGTTAATGATGATATTTGGTAACTTGTTCCATTCATCCACTACTCTGTTTCCAAACCAGTGTTTACCTATTTCACACCTAGATCTAAATTTGTCTAATTTAAAACCGTTGTTACGAGTTTGCTCGTGGTTGGATAGTTTGAGTACGTTTGCAATGTCCCCTTTGTTCAGCCCTGACTTCCATTTATACACCTAGATCATATCGCCCCTCACTCTACGTCTCTTGAGGGAGTTCAAATTTAGAAGCTTTAACCTGTCTCTGTAATCAAGGTTCCTAATGCCCGGGATTAGTCTTGTCATTCTCCTCTGAATTCTTTCCAAGAATTCTATATATATTCTGTAATACGGTGACCAGAATTGAACTGCATAATCCAAGTGGGGTTTCACAAGCACAAGATATAGTTTTAAAATGACCTCGCTAGTCTTGTAACTAACACTCCTTTGTATGAACCCAAGTACTCTATTAGCCTTGTTTCAAGCAAATACACATTGTTTACTTGGCTTAAGATTCCTACTTATCATTACTACCTAAATCTTTCTCACAGTCGGATTTCTCAATAACATCGTTGTTCATCTGGTATCTGGTTTCCCTGTTTACATCTCCTATACTGAGTACTTTACATTTGTCCATATTGAATCTCATCTGCCACTTTTCAGACCATTCAAAAAATTTGTTTAGATCTTCCTGTAGTTTTGCTGAGTCATCGTCAGATTTATTTACACTCCCTATTTTAGCATCATCAGACAAATTTACTTATGTTGCTGTTTACGCCGACATCTATGTCGTTTACGTATATAATGTATAATAATGGTCCGAGTACTGAGCCTTGGGGAACTCCACTAGTGACGTTGCTCCAATGGGATTTAGTGCCGTTAATGCTCACTCGCTGTTTCCTGTCCTGTAACCACGCCCTAATTCATTTTAGAATATCTCCATTAATGCCACGGGCCTCCACTTTTCTTATTAGTCTCTCGTGGGGGACTCTGTCGAAGGCTTTGCTAAAGTCGAGATATACCACATCATAATTGTGCCCCTCGTCCACTGATTCAAAACAGATGAAAAGAATGTTAATAGATTAGTTAGAAATGAACACCCGCTAGTAAAGCCATGTTGGGAATCATTGATCAATTTGTGCTTCTCCAGGTGATGTCGAATAAGTTCGAAATAATTGCTTCCAGTAATTTGCCTACAACTGATGTTAGACTGATTGGTCGATAGTTAGATGATAGTGATCTATCTCCCTTCTTGAAAATAGGTATAACATTCGTTATCCTCCAGGATTCTGGTAATACACCCATTTTTAGGACACGTTAAACAACTTTGCGAAGGGCATACTAAGCTCTTCCTTACATTCCTTTAATACTCTGGCAAATATCTCATTGGGACCTGGTAACTTGTTAGGCTTAAGTTTGTCTATTTGCTTACTAATAGCGTTACTAGTCACTACTATCTCGCTTAATTTATATTCTACGCTATCTCAGTATAGAGTCGGTGCCATGGGTATCATGTTTAAATTTTCGGTGGTGAAAACTGTTGTAAAATATTTATACAGATTAATGCTCATTTCTCCGTCGTTATCAGTTAGCTCGCCGGTATCTGACTGTATTGGTCCAATCTTTTCTCGTGTTTTAGTTTGATACATTTGATAGAATCCCTTGGGGTTTGCCTTCGCCTCCCTTGCTACCTTCAGTTCATTATTCCTCTTTGCTTTTGTTATCTTGGTGTTAACCCTACGGGCCAATACCTTATAATAATCTCGGAGGTAGAATTCACCACGATTTATTCTCCTACCTATAGCCCTCCTTTGTCCAATAATTATATTCTTTAAATAATTATTTATCCATTTAGGGTCATTGTTGTTTGATTTGAGTTTTCTGTATGGTATGTTCTGCCTTTGTGCATTAAGTAACTCATTATTTAAATTGTTGTGGAACTCGGCAACCTCAGATCCCGTTATCAGGTCTCCTGGTAAGGTGAGGTCGCCCTCTGTGGGTACAATGAGTGAGGTCACCTCATGTGAGGTCATGTAGTTCACCCCCAAGCGTGTACCCCTTCTCTCAGCTGTCTCTTCAAACTATCAAAGTTTGCCCTTCTGAAATCTGGGACTTTAGTGGAATTTTCCTTATGACTGCCCTTAAATTCTAACTGGAATCAAATTTCTTTGTGATCGCTTTTAGCAAGTTTATTCCCTACCTCGACATTACTAATGAGGTTTTCTCTGTTTGACAGAACTAAATCGAGTATATTATTACCCCGGGTGGGTTCGGTTATATGTTGGCTTAGGAAACAGTCCTGGATTGTTTCAAGAAAATCCTCTGATTCTGAGTTACCCGTAAGGTCAATCTAATCTAGTTGCTAAAGTTAAAGTCGCCTACTATACAGACTTTGCTCTGCGCATTTCATCCCAAAAAGTCGCTCATTAACTCTGTCAAGATTAGGAGGTCTATATATTACTCGTGTGATTAATTTTTCCTTACCATCGATTAGTTCTATCCAAATTGTGTCTGTAGTCCGTTCTGTTTTTATTACCTTATTTATTTCACACTTCAGATTATCCCTGACGTAGATTGCTACTCCGCCTCCTTTCCTTATCTGCCTATCGGTAAGGAATAATTTGTAACCTGCAATTTGGTATTCGACAGGTAACTCACGTGAGTCTAGGTTTATCCATGTTTCGGTGAATGCTATTATATCGATTTTTTCGGTACATGCCAACTCCCTGATTTCATCTATTTTGTTTCTCATACTTCTACTGTAGGGGTGTGTGTGGGTGATGTAGGGGTGTGTGTGGGTGGTGTAGGGGTGTGTGTGGGTGATGTAGAGGTGTGTGGGTGATGTAGAGGTGTGTGGGTGGTGTTGGAGGGTGTGTAAGCCTGACCTTACTTTTACTTTTATCCTCTTCACCACTGACTGGCTCGTTAGCCGCTTGGGCAATCGGTCACGTCTCTGTTACGCACTGTTGGCAGGTACTGGGCATGTACCGGCTCCTGAATGTACCTGAACCTGCTCCAGTGTTGGTCAAGTCTGGTCTTGAAAAAGCTCACACTCGGTGCTGTCACAAAACTTTCTGGTAGATTGTTCCAAGAGTTCACAACTCTCACTCCAAAAAGTTTGCCCCTCACAGTTTTCTGGACCTGCGGCTTCTTCAATCTTGAGCTGTGACCCCTTGTGGGGCGAGCGTCCACCGGCTCCAAGTAAGGACACTTGACTGAGTAGTGCCCCTTGAGATGCTTATACACCTCAGTTAGGTCGCCCCTTGCCCGTCTGTAGTATAAGCTAGGCAAGTTCAAGCGCTCCAATCTCTTAAGGTAGTTGAGGTGCCGAAGCGCAGGCACCAGTCTGGTGGCCCTCCTTTGAACATTTTCAACCAACTGACAGTCCCTCGTATATCTCGGGGACCAGACAGGGTGACAATACTACAGATGGGGAAGCACTTCACTCTTGAAGATCGTTACGAGGAACGGACCGTCTAGATATCTGAACGACCTTCTTATAAGACTTAATAATTTATTTGCCCGATTTACCTTCTTCTCGCAATGGCCTGAGAACTTCAGCTCATTGTCAACATACACATCTAGGTCCTTCTCACATTCAGTCTCAAATAGTACAGTTTCTTCATCCCGTTGGGACATATGATACGCCTCCTTACCGTTGGTACGCCCCAGGTGCATCCTCTTGCACTTCGTGACATTGAATCTCAGCAGCCATTTCTTCGACCATTCTTGGAGCTCACAGAGATCCTTCTGCACCTCTTCACAGTCCGCTTGGTTCTTGATTTCCTAAAATAACTTGGCGTCATCCGCAAACATTTGTTTGGAGGAGTGTACAACGTCGAGCATGTTATTTATGAAACAAAGAACAGCGGGCCCAATACACTGCCCTGTGGTGCCCTGCTTGTGACAGGTACAGATGATAATTTCGTGCCATCAATTACCACACACTGCTTGCGGTCATGTAGAAAGTCTTCTATCCACGCCTTGATTCAGGAAAAAGCAAGAAGCTAGCCCCATGTTTCAATGTAAATGTTAAACTGTATTTTGTCATAAATTTCTTCTTTTGTCTTAAATTAAGATATTTTAGATGTATATAGTGACTTAAGCTATGATAAAGTGGGATTTTAAACTTTGTTCTGTAAGTACGGTATGGATATAGGTTATGTGGTTCGATTTAAGTACATTTTCAACTGAAGAACGTCCGTAGGAATGGAACACGTACATAACCCAGAGACTGCCTGTAATGAGCTCCTGTATACCAAGCATGTCATTTGCAAAACCAAGTTATGGTGGAAATGTGAGAAAAGATCCAATGTTTGCTGAATGTAGGAAGAATTGTCATGGTTAAATGATATCTGCAACATCGATAATTTTGCTAAGGAGTCGCACAGCATCAACATTCCCAGAAGACAACTGCACCTGATTCCAGTGAACCCTGTCCTTGACGGATCTTATGAAGCAGTGTGATTTGTTTCCTACTGTTCGTGAAACCCTACTGATCTCCTTGAAACTTCCAGTCTCCACTTGTGAAATAGAGCGCTCATTTAGGAGGCTGATACACGTCAAGGCATGGCTATGATTAACAATGTCAACTGAATGCTTGTCTGGATTGTTCATCGCTAGAAGGTGTTAGACAGAAAGAAAGTTTTCTCGTGAGACGTGATTGGTCACTTTGGAGTTGATAAGTGCTGCCTGTAGTATTTATTTAACCTCTAAAAGTACGCTGCTAATATTCTGAGCATCACCATCATGACATCCCTAGATTTTCAAGATTAATGACATCAAATGGATTATTTTCGTTAGTTTTTAATGCTTAAGGCTAACCTTATGATAACTTTAATGATTAATAATTTGGTGATAACACTGATAAGTGATATTGCTGATCATACAGTACTTGAAAGTAACTATTATACTTGATCATTCTTTTATATGGATGTATATACCTGTTTTAAATAAAGTGATGTGTTAGGTCTTATGTTGTTTTCTTGACCCCACTCTCCCCACCCCACCGAAAAAATCCTGCAGACGCCCATGCTAGGACAGTTCTAAGGCACTATGTTGATATGACGACAAAATATCAGACACTGTATAGATTCCAAGCTGCTGCAGCACTTGAAAGAAGGTTAAGGTCATGATAGTGACAGTGGCACAGAGAGGGAATTTTGAACATTTACTATAATAATGCAACTGTATCACATTGTCTGGAGTTATGTACATAAAATTGCACCAAAATCGATGACTGTTTCACCCCAACCTCACTATCATCACCTTATCCTTTTACAAGCGCTCTAGCTAGAACACAATGCAGATTTCGACATTTTATCCTATAAAAATTTTGCCTTAGAATTTTCCCAGGCATGCACCCTGCAATTTACCCATACACAATTGAGAATCACCCTGTATATTTTTTGTGGACTTTTAAAGGAACTTCATTCTGAGAGGATTTGCTGAATATAAACTGTGAAGATAACAAAGACATTCAGTAAATGCAAACCTGTTGTGGCAGAAGAGTAATAACATAATCTGGTGGACAGGTGGGAACAGGACACGGCGGAGCAGTAGTAGTCACTGGTTGTTCAACGGAGTAATATGAAAAGTGAAAAGTTTATGCTGTTAATAACTTGTAAGGAAACACACACACACACACACACACACACACACACATATATATATATATATATATATATATATATATATATATATATATATATATATATATATATATATATATATATATATATATATATATATATATATAATATCTGTTATTTTCATAAGTATTCATTCAATTTTTTTCTGTCAACAACAAACACAAAAAGATTTGTTCAAAGTAAATCTTGTCATTTAATACCATTCAAGATATTTTTCATATGTTTTCATGAATTTTTGGTGGGGGGGGGGGAGTGACGGAGCTCTAGGGTTGCACATGGAAAACTGAACTTGACTGAAAAAAAAAATTAGGGTTTCATGTCCCATTTAAACTATTGAATTGAATGGTGTTAAATTAGGGGTTTACTGTAATAAAGATTCTATATGTATCCCTTGTTCAGCGTGTGAAGTGATCATATGTGTGGAGATACTAGGCTGTAACTGTGTTGGTGACTCACCACCCAGCCACACTCCCTCGCCCCTACTGTATGTGACATGACAGCATACACGTCTCATTGTCAGCTGAACTGTGTTGTGTCACCCAGAAGATGGTTGAGTGTGGAAGTAGCTATATTTGTAAATAAAATATGTGCTATTATATATTATATGCTTTGTAATGTATCAATTTAATTGTTTATCATAGCAATTTTCTTCATTTTTGATGTATGCAATTTGAATTTGTTCAAATTAGGCCCAGACTTTATTCACTAAATCATAAACTCTGAACCACATTGTTTATATAGAAGCTTGGTGTTCATAAATCAAACGTTTAACTTCAAAAACGTTCATAACAAACTTGTTTAATATTACAGTATTATGGGAGTACAGTAGTACTGTACTCAGTGTTTACCGCCCTGCCATCTGAACCTGTTGTTCTCCCTCCGTGCTTGCTGTTATCCCTCGTTTAGCGATAATTTGCTTACTGTTAGGTTTCTCAGGAATGCAACTCCATTGTTAAATGAGGAATACATGTATTAATTTTTAAGTAGAGTATCCTGTATGTTATTCATTACAGTATTGTCATAGAAATAACAGAGAAACTGTCATAAGTTAAAATTTCCAGCATATTTACAGGAGCCACTGACTGCAAAATGAAAGTGCCAAACAACAAAAAGCAGCAACTGTATAAGATGCTACCATAAATTATGACTACCTTATTATATATATTTTTTTTATTAATATAGACTTCATTTCGGCAATACTAAAATTTTACTTTAATTCCCCAAATATAGAGTTAATATAATTCATGGCTTCAGATCACAACTAAATGAGCTTTTAGGGAGAAATAAAAAATAAAAATATAAAATAGAATAAAAAATTATTATCCGGGAACTGATGGACCGGCACCTCCTTTAGCCTGGACAAAATTATGAGGGGGGCACTTAACTTACTAAACTCCCTCCCTCCCTCCCAGCCAGGGTGAAGCTAGATTTAGACTTAAAGCTTTTATCTTATAAAATGTAGCTAACTAGACTTAGAAGGAATATAAATTGCATTGCTGGAATCCTTGTAAGATGGTGATTAATTTGAGTAAAAACATCACATAGTTTGCACAACAGATATTTTTTTTAGTTTAGTGTAGTACATTTGAGCACAAATTGTGTACTGTGCATTAATGTTGCTCAGAATTATGGCATTTTCACATTTAATTTCAATTTAATATTTGTTTAGTTTGTGTTTCTAGCAGTCCACAGTGCTTTACAGACACAGGGGTGTATCATTAGTGGGTCAGAGGTGTATTGTTGAATTATACCTGACCCCGGTTGGTCCGGCAAAACGGATAATTCGGCAAGGCTTTGGAACCAAGGGTGCCGGAAAAATCAGTGGTGGACCTGTATATGTTTCAGTGTTCCACCAACAATTTAGATATCTGCACATCAAGCATTAGTTCCTTGTTAAAGAGAAATAATAGAAAGAATGTTAGCTTAATTACTAAAACAAATTTCTTATAAAATTGCGCACCTGGAGTTGTAGTAATACAATTTAGTTCATCGTCTGGACATTCCTCAATACCATTGCACCAAGACGACTCATTTAGACAGTAGTTGCTGGATGGACAAAGTTTGGTTCCATCAGGGCAAGGCTTGCACAAACAGGCACACTGTGCTGCTACAATGGCTTGTTGATCCTGGAAAATATAGCACGTTTATGTTGGATATATAATTTCCTTTCTACAGTGTATTAAAATACATAATTTTAATGAAAGCAATTGTAGGAATGATAAAAAAAATGCAAACTTTAATACAGCACAATTATTCATTACATATTTACATTAAGGGGGTACTGCACATACAATCACCTCTTTTTTTGAAACATTAATCGCAATAATTCCAAAGAAAAATCCTAAACATTGGGTTACCTTTAAGTGTTTTGAAATGATGGAATTAGCATTGAGGTGAGAAAAAGTAGTCTTAAAAATTGGATAGAGGTATCCCTTGATATACGAACAGGTTAAGAAATAAAAAAAGAAGTGATTTTTCATATTTTAAAGAAGAAAACAAATAGGGCTTGGTTCCCCAATGACTAAAATACCCCAAAAGGATACCCAAAAACACAAAATTGGTTCACAAACAAGAAAAAACCTAACTAATAATAAATAGTACACAGTTACTGTAATTTACTATGTAACACATAACTTTTAGTAGTGAATATTTTACAATCATTGGTGAATCTAATACTTATGAAAAATGAAAATCGTCCAAGAACTTTTTGGGTATTTTTCAGTTCTGTGCACAAAATGTTTATTTTGTTATACAAGACTGTGAAGATTTACAAGTTCTTGGCACCTGGTGTGTCAAATAAAGGCATTTTGGGGACATGAGGGTACCAGCCTATAAAATTTTTACTAGCTTTTAGCAGTCAAAGTTTATACTGGCTGGCACCCTTATGCCCCCTAAAATACCTTCATTTGACTGACAAGCTGCCTCTCACATGCGTTCTACTACAAGCATCATTACTAGTCATCAAACAATTGTCATTCATGATACAATATTGTTTATTTGTTATTCATTAATTAGTAAAGCTATGTTACTGTAATAATCTGTGTTTACAAATACCTGTACCTTTCACATACAATACTGTATATACAGTATTTTTTTCAATTTAACGAACTAATTAGAGCCACCCCTTTCCTGTGAGTACACCTAAAGTTGTTTGAAACACGTCATGAAAATCGAGCTAGTTGTACTGCATGTAATACCACAAAGTACAGAATACGCCGGTTATCACACGGATGCATTACTTAAAGCCATTGTGATTAATAAAACGGTAAATATGGGGTCAATTTCCCCCATAAGATTTAATGTATATAGGGGTGGATGCATTTCCCAGCCGGAAACTTTCATCACATAATTTTTGTATATACTGTACTGTATATTTCATTATCCAAGTCTACTGTATAAGGGACCAGTGGTCGTAAGATGTGTAAATTATTTTTACGTTTTTGACTTTATGATAATAATTTCTTTATTTATATGCACATTCTGTATGAAGATTGTGTCTGCATGTAACAGAATACAATAAGTTTCTTCACCCGAAAATACGAGTTGAAAAATAAAAATAACCAACTCCCAGCAGGGGCACACATGGTTCACTTCACCGCTACTCACCACCCACACACCATCCACACCCCAAAATCACCCACATACCCCATCCACACATCCCAACACCACCCAAAACATCTCCAACACCCCACCCATACACCCCAACATCCCACACACACACACACACACACACACACACACACACACACACACACCCCCCAACATCACACACACACACACACACACACACACACACACACACACACACACACACACACACACACACACACAC